TGTGTGTGTGTGTATATATATATAAATATTTCAAACATGCTATATAAAGAGATTATAGACATAAATATTGAAAGAGACTCATTTATTAAAAAATGTGGAAAGAATCAATATTTTAAATCACTGGAAGAAAAAGATAGTTAATTCTGATGTTTTTTTTACAATATTTATATTAATTATATTTGGCATTATTAGGTATATATTGTAATATATATTTTGTTTCTAAAAAAATGTCCAAATAAATATTCAAACGTTTCAAGAAAAAATACAATATTCTGCTTATAATTATATTCAAATATTTGTATCTACACATGTCTTATTCAAACTGTAATAATAATAATTGCTACAACCTTTATATATAAAAAATTAGATTTATATATTATTGTTGAAAATATCTTTTGAGAGAAATCATCCAAATATTAGTATTTTTAGTTTAATGCTAAAGCAGAGTACGAAAATATCGATAAATTAAAGTCAGTGTTATACTCGATTAATATTTAAATATATATCTTTTATACTATCTAAATTATTTATTGACACAACCTTATCGCATAGATTATTTATACAATTTGAGCCTATGTGATGATTTCGTAATACATTATTGACACAACCTTATCGCATAGATTATTTATACAATTTGAGCCTATGTGATGATTTCGTAATACATTACATAAATTTGCAATAGTTATTAAAAAATATAACATTTAAAAATATTGTACAATTTAGTGCATCTCTTTCTTTTTTCTCCAAACTCTAATTCATTATTTGCTTTATTGTTTGCAAATCTATCATACTGTACATTATTAACAGTGGTAACTTGCGACTATTTCTCTGTGTGTGAGGGTACTCGTTACTATGACAATATGAAAAACTTTCTTTGTAAATATACATTCTGCACATAATACATGTATCTTTGTATCAATAACCATTTTACATCATAAAAACAAATATTTGATAGAATCATACTATACATTCGTAACAATACATTCATACCTTATTTAAAGTATTAAGATCCTACAAAAATCTAGTCAGATGGTTCCACGTGTCTATTAAATTCCAGTATAGTATTTGTATCATTTTGTAATTCGCTGTTAACTGCGTCGTTGCAAATACATACTGAATCGGAAAGACTTTCACCTGAAAATAGTATAAATTATCAATATATCTTATTATATACTATGCAATTCCAGATAGAAGAAATCTGCTGATAAATACACAGAATGAAGCTTTGTCCATCTAAAGTATATCCACTATTTTTAGAGATATGGAAATATTTTAATTACGGAAGTTGTGTAGTATATCAAGAAAGTTATAATATGGAATAATTTTTCTGAGTGAAAACGCTTCAAAAATGCATTAACTTTCATTTTTTAAATGGTGTTATATGATTTTTAAAATTTAATATTCTTATAGTTATTCTCTGAATACGAAAGTATCAAAAATAGAATTATCAAAAAATCAATAGTACGAGATATTTTGACACATTTTAATATTAAATATTAAATATTTCGTAAATTATTAATTTTTTGATAATTGTACCTTAACATTTTTGTGCATCAAATAATGAGATGAATCAACTAATGTAAATAAAATGCATTGTTGTTTTTCAAAAAAAAGTATATAGTGTATGTTACAAATTGTATAAATTTCTTTTTAAGAAAAACTATATTTTCTTTACACCAAGTGATTTATCTCATAATTCTGTGCATAAAAGTATTAAGATATAGTTATCAAAAATGAATAGTTTGCGATGCATATTTTGTACTTCCAAAATGTATCAGAATAAAATATAAAATCTCGTAAACTATTAATTTTTTGATAATTCTACTTTAATATACATTTATATGCAGAATAAGAAAAATTAATTATGTAAAAAATTTAATATACAAAAAAAAGGTGACCTTACATTCTCAGAAGCTTCTTCACTCACAGAAAAATTATTATTAGCATATTATAATCAATTTGATACTATACAATTTTCATAATTATTTTTATATCTCTAAAAATAGAAGAAATTCCAGATAAAAGTTATTACTCCACTCTGCATATAAATATATGATAAACATTATATACATTCATACGCATTATTGAGTTAAGATTGTATATTATTTTTTATTCGAAAAATTCTTATATTTTTATGGGAGCTAATTAATCTTCACACACACACACACACACACACATGCGCGCGCGCGCGCGCGTGTGTGTGTGTGTGTGTGTGTGTGTGCACAGAGTGAAATTTAATTTAAGAACGACGATCGCTCATTGAGCGCTTAGTGAACAGTTGTTCTGAATGCACCCATTAAATATCTTACGTTTTACCCTAGAAGATAAATATTTCACTTTCTTATATGTGAATTTTACTCTCTCTTACGTGTTACAGTTGGTAATTTACTCCCATGGTAAAATGTTGGGATATTCATTAAGATTCACTCTGTATATATGTATATAAAGTATATACATATATATTATACATATATTTCTCCAATTATGAAAAAATAACATTTAAATAGTATTTAAATGCTTTAACATTAAACATAAAAAAGACTCTTATTCCTATGTAATAATAGCATATAATATTTCTAAAGTAATAAAAAAATAGTAGACACACGCAACTAATATACATTCATTAACGAAGACTTAACAGGTATATATAAGCAATATTTTAGCAATCTTTCAAGCATGTATAATCTATTTATAGCTAAAAATGTTAAAATTTTTTATGTAATAAAAAAATTTAAAGTAACAATAATATTGTACAACACCAAGCATTGTGCGTAATACATCTTGAAATCCTATTTATTTAGTTTTCAATATATTATATTTATCCAAACTGATAAATATGTAAAGCAAAATACATAAACACTCTATTCCAATTACAATATAATTCTGTAAATACATGCATTATTGTACCATGTCCATATAACATACATCCACAAATATACATAAAGTCTATTAATTATGCTACATTCCACACATAGATTTATAGGCAAGCTTCATCAGTCTAAAAGATATCATATTAGTTTGATGTTAAATTTTATTGTTAACTATTTGCACAATATGATTTTTTTATTCCAATTAATAAATATTTGTAAAAATCAATTTTGTAAGTATTAATTGTAATAATAAGTAAATTCTAATAATAGGAATATCAAGCCTGAACTATAGATTCTACTCTCATATTGTCTAACTATTTAAAGACATTATTTTATTTAAATTAGACTCTTATATAAATTTTGTAATTGTTAAAAATGTCTAAATAATAGGAATAAAAAACTTTTAATTATTTTGTGAGTTACATTTTTCCACTTATGACATCTATGAGGAAAACATAAAATCAAGACAATAAAAATAACGAAAAAAGCTTCATATTCCTGGGTTGAAAACTTTTCATGCAATCTTATAAAATATAGATCATAAAAAGAAGAAAGATGAAAGTACTTGTAGAAATTATACGTAAAAAAAAATGATGATTTAATAAACCTAATATAAAAAATAGTATGAAATGATAATTGATAATCAATTTAATTATGTAATTGCGTTTTAAATATTAATAATTTAATTATATAAACAGACATTAATTTTTCTTTTAAAATCAACTAATATATATTTCTTAAATAAATTTGAATCTTTTTAAAGATTTAATTCAAAAACTAAATATTCAAATTTGAATCTTATATGATATAAAAAGATATTAACATTATTTTGTAAGTATTCACGGGTTATCACAAGAATTAAAAATAGATATATAATATAGTTATAAATAATAGATAACTATAAATGAAAATTATAAACAGAAATAACTATTAATTCGTGTATAATGTAAAAAATGTGTATATA